TTGCAAACCACATGCTAATATATGTTAATAATATGATATTTGTCATTTTCTGTGAAGAACAGAGCTCATTTTCCTTCATGGACACTCGGGTTGTGAGTCAGAACGCAGCCGTTACGAAAGCTTTAAAAGGCCACTTTTATCTGTGTAAAAAAAGGAGTTTGGAGGCTTTCAAACGTACCTGTGGTCTCTGGTGGGGGGTCAGAGGGACGTGAGTCAGCCGGCCTCTAAACTCACCAGTTTAGCCGGATTTGTAAAGAAAATCCTTCAAAAATCAGAGTGAGAAGCAAACTGGCTGCAGCCGGAAAACTGATGAGTCAGCGATAAGTGGCTCCTTAACCCTATAACGCCACCTTTATTATATCTGACGCCCACGGTTACGGTCATCTTTTGTATTTGAGGCCTTTTGCATCATTTAAGGGTAAAAACTTTGCTTAAAACCCTGCTTTACACAGTCAGAGTAACTTGATTACAAAAAATTAACATTAAACCACAATAAATCTGACTTATCGAACTGTAATAAGTTATGAATATTCAAAAACTTCTGTTTATTTGTTCATATTTTGTTAAAGGACCAAATAAAGACTTAAAACAAACAGAAAAATGTAAATTTTTTGTTGGATCAGGCTTTAAAGGGTTGGAAAAAAAAAAGTTTTATGCTGTTTTATTAATCAAAATGAACACTTTCAGCATCATCAACTATAAATTCACCCAAAAAATGTCCCAGATCCGGCCAACGTGAAGTTAAAACCATTTTTTGTGTCTGAAATGAACTAAAGTTTTATTAAGCCAGCCTGTAAACAACTTGGCTTCCAGTTAAATTAGAGGCTTTGTCGTGAATATATCTCAAATCGTGACATTTTTATTGAAATGTACTGTTTGATGAAAAGGGGAAAACAGTTTAGTTTGACAATTCGAGCTAAACGTTTGTTGATATAAAGTGGAGGAAAAACGAGTTTATTTCTGACCTCTAGTGGATGGAGGGAGGTCTTAGACCAAAGAGGAAGCTCCTGCTCAGCATCCCATCCCGTGTTTTTGTTACTCCTGGTGACTGTTGCCGCGGCAACAGGATGAATCTGTAGGCAGGGCAACAATTTGATGCAAAAATAGAAGGAAAAAGAAGAAGCTGTGGATGAATATTTAGTCTATAAGCGCCTTATTTTTTTGTTTATTGGGATCAAAGTCAGCTGCATTAATAAGCTAAACCAGCAAATATTAAAATAAAATGTTATATTTGATGAGAAAATTTGCTTCTTTGCGCCTGTATATTTTATAATGTCATAAGAACAACTTTCCGTCCCAATCTCGTAAGATTTAAAAAGGAATAAAAGCAAACTGAAGGCTGGTCTGATTATTCTGAGTAGATCATATTTAAAGAATTATGACCCGTATCAAACACTGATACAACATAGATTTAGACATAATTTTTAGATGAATATTTAACGTTTTGATTCAGATTTATGTAGATTTAGCATTCCTATCTAGATTTAGATTGAACCTTTACACCTTATTTATTAAAGATATAGATGTAATCTTTAGATGACATATCAGATTTTACATTCAGATTTAATCTTCACACATCATAAATCTGAATCAGAATCAGAAATACTTTAATAATCCCAGAGGGAAATTAGTTTTGTTACTAGCTCCATAAATAAAACAACAGCATATA